GATTTTGCCACCCCCCCACACACACATGGCTGGGGGGGTGGGATGGGTGCTGGGTGGGAGCAGCTTCTCCGCTCCTGGATGCAAAACTCTGCCCAGTCCTGGTGCTGCAAACACCCCAGCCCCACATTCCTGGTGCCATTCCAAGCAAACCCTGCCTTTCCAGGGCAGCGTTGCCTTCATGACATTTCCAACCCTCCTAAGAAGCACAGAGCTCCCTTCTCCCCCTGTCCCAAGACACACACAGAGCAGGATTTCTCACCCCCCCCTTGCCAAGACAACAACGCTCAGGAGCCAAGACCCTGTAACTCCAGAGCAAGGATGAAATTCAATTTATTCCCTGGCTCCTTTATGGAAAGAAAAGGAGGCTCTTTCTGGGAAAGCTTTAGTAGTTTTGTTCAATTATTGGTTTATGCAACATCCAAAAAAAAGAAAATAAAATAGTGTTTTCAGCACTTTCTCATATCAAGGAAGTAATTGAGTCAGAATGAAGAAGAAATTATCTATGAAGTTAATTATCTTGCAGACAGGTTTTACACTCAGTCATTTTTCATGACCAGGCAGTAACTGGAAGCACAGGCATTTTTCTTTCCTGTAATTAATGTGCTTGGAATATGTTGGAGAAGGTGTCAGGGGTTAGTGTTTGGTTGGAGGGGAGTTGTTAGTGGAGAGGGAGTGCTGGGAGGTGCTGGGCTGGTTCCAAGCCTGGCTTGGGCAATTCCCACACCTGGGTGAAGGGATGAGGTGGCCCCAAAAGGATCTCATCCCCTCTTTTGGGATCTGGGGGGGCTGTCTGGGTAGCAGGGTGCCCAAGGGGCTGGGGCAGCTCCTGGCTGTGGGAGCATGTGGCTCTGAGTGAGTGGAATTAATGGCTGGACTTGATGGTCTGGAAGGTCCTTCCCAACCAAAATGATTCATTTGTTCTATAAATCTGCTTAAAAATAAAAACAACACACCTTCTACTGCTGTAAGACCTCACAGCAGAGGTGGGACAGGTCCTTCCATCCACCCCTGGCTCAGAGACACCAGCACAACCCCATGCCCTGTGGTGGGGTCTGTCCCTGTCCTGGGGTCTCATCCCTGTGCAGGGTTCCCTGGGGCAGCACCCCATCTCCAGAGGGGCTTGTGCTGCCCCTGCATGGCAGAACCACAGGATCATCCCAGTTGAAAAAGACCTTGTAGATCATTGATTGAGTCCAACCACAACCCAACTCCACCAACCATTCCCCCACCTCTACCCAGCCCAGTCCTCCAGCCACGTTCCCAAGCACCACCTCTAGCTCCAGGGATGGAGACTCAGGCAGCAGGGACCTACCTGGGTGCTTCCCTAGGAGTTTCCTCACCAGCCCTGCTGACATCTCTTTCCCAAAAGAAGAGTCCAAAGAGAAAAGCCTGGAATGAGTGGGGAAGATCTCCTCCCTCCAGGGAGGCAGAGCAGTGAGCCCAGCAGCAGCACATGGGTGCTGCCTCTCCCTGCCTTCCTCCTTCATTTAATTCCTCCTTCATTTACTGCAGTAATTATATTAGGAGAGTGTGACACAGGAGTCTCCTGGAGCCTGCTAATTGTTGCTGGAAGGAGGCCATTTCAGGTGGTCATTGAGAGAAAAGCAGTTGATCCTCCAGGCTGGTTCCCCCCATGGTGGGCAAAGCCCTGGGCCCTTTCTTGGCCAGATTCCATGTGGGATGAAGTACCATGGGTGAGTAATCCCAGAAAATGTGTTCTTGGAGAAGTGAACTGCCCTGAATCCCTTTTAATTTAAGCTCTGCAAGTGGTTTGGAGTGAAGGGAGAGCCATGGGGAGAGGGCTCAGGGCAGGTGGCTGCACATGGAGTGGGTGGCTTGGAGTGTTCTCCAGGCTTTGGGAAGCTGTGGCAGATACTTCCCTGTAGCCTGGGGGTCAGCAGAGGAAAAAGAGAAGGAGAATCCCCTGTTTGCAGGCAGTCCTGGTCCCAGACACCTCACAGCACTCAGGGAAGGTGCAAATCCTGCAGCTCAGCTGGGAGATGGGGAAGCCTCCAGGTGCATCCACCTGCTGGGGGCTGTGCCCATGGGAGGCTTTTGCAGGCTGGTTTCTGTCCCTCTGGTCACACCGAAGCTGCAGGTCTCCAAAACCCACCAGAGCATCTTTTCTGCCTGCACACCCATGTCCAAGCCCTGGGGACCCAAGGATTGGCAGGGATGAAGGCTGCAGGGATTCAGAGCAGGATTGTCCACCTGCACAAGGTCTCCAAACATCCCTCCAGCGTGCAGGGTCTCTCCAAATCCAGAGATGAGGCTTGGCTTTGTCTGAGAGGGGCTGGAGACCCCCCAGAACCACACGGCTCCATTTGTGCAGCTCCTCCAGAAGGACCATTCCCAAAACAGCACCATGCAAGTGAAATCCTTGTGGAACAGGGAGCAGGAACATCAGGAACTGAGCACAGAGCGTTACTGAGCGTTACTCCAGAACCACTTCCCACAGCCACTGTCCACCTCTTCCCAAGCACATGTTGTCTTGTCCCCTTGCCCTCCTTCCAAGAAAGCCTTTGTGTCTGTGGTAACTCCCCAGGATTCTCCATCTCAGGGTTCCCAGCCCCAGGATCAGCACTTCCACCTCGAAGAGCTTTGCTTCCAGCAGCCTGAGATGCCTGGATGAAGGCAGCTTCTCAGCATGGCCAACACCTTCATCCCAACTGCAGGAATGGTCAGCAGCTCCAGCACAACCTAGGACCCAGGCAGGGGGGATACAGCTGGGATCCAGGCACTACCCTCCCTCTTGCCCCACTGGCATGGCCACAGATGCTGGATGACCACAGGTGACCCCCACAACAGCCCCAAGAGCAAAGGGGTAACTCCTAATTTAGGCTCATTCCAAGCTCTTTGCTTTCTGCTGCTGCCTCCTTAGCTGGAAGATCCAAAGGAGTGGGCCAAATATTCCCTGTGGATGGGGTGCAATTACCCAGCAGGCAGCAGAGAGGGCACCAGCTGCTGGAGGGAGATGTTTCTCCTTTATTTCTCCCAGCAAACAACTTCATACTCCTTTTGGAAACGCCCTGTGTGTCGTTCCCAGCCTTCTGAGGGGAGAAGGAAATCAAACCACCACCAAGAAAAGCAATCTGCTTCCTATTTCCAGCCCCTTTCCCAAAGAAACAGAGTGCCCAGGGGGTCCATAACCTCTGCCAAAAATTCCCACAGCTGGGAAGAGCCAGGATTTCAGCTCACCCCAGCACCAGGCACCCCCAAACTTGGCCAGAGAGCCCCCCAGTGCCTCCCTCCCCACCTAGATGGGGGGGTTTTTCCATGCCAAACGGCTCAGCACATCTGGCTGCCTTTCAGAGCTGTCATTTTCCTGGCTGGGAGAGGAGAGATCACAGGAAAGATCAGCCTGGCTTTGCAAGGAGGCTCCTGCAAGAGACCTGACATGTTTATTTTCCCCGCGCCAACTTCCAGATCAAACGCGGTTGCTTTTTCCGTGCTGCAAAAGGGAATATTCCTCCATCCCTCCCCTCCCTGCCAGCACCCAGCTCCTGTTCCAGCATTCCCAGCTCCTCCAGATGCCCCTGACATCCCTATTTGCCACGGGTAGTGCTGGATGGGTTGAGGGAGGGGTCTTTTCTACTCCCCAGCACGAGCAGGAAAGTGGAACAACGTTCAAAACACCAAGAACCTCGATGCTCGGTGTGACCTAAATCTCAGTGTTTCAGTTGGGGTTTAGGGGCTGTCAGGTTGCTTGGGAAGAAATAAAAAGAAAGCAAGAAGAAAAAAAGATATTAAGGGGATGATATTCTCAAAACCAAAGCGATTGCACATAAAAAAAACCCCCTCAAACCCTCCCTGCCACACGGGAACATGTCAGCTCCTTTGAAATGTTTGCTTGTTTGCTTGTCTCCCTGAGCAAACCAGCCAGGGAATTGTTCCCAGCACTGCAGCAAAAAAAGAAATGGAGGCTGACCCAAAACCCCTCATTCTTGCAGCTGAAGGGTCCCCCTTTTCCCCTCCCCACCCAGAGCTGGGGGTGCTCAGCCAGGCAGAGGTGGGCTCAGCTTTTTGGTGCCTGGCTCGGTTGTTCTTGGTTTATTCTCATCTTCTTTTTTTTTTTCATTATAGACATTGTTCAAAAAAATAAACTTTACAATAATACATTTTTTTTTGTCTTTTTTTTTAAGTTGTGGTCACCATTTAAAAAGAATGAAGGGGAAAAAAAGGAACTTGAAAAAGCCACACTGTAGATGTATATGGTTATGTATGTACATACATAGTTGTAGGTGGGTGTTATATACATACACTCTATATGTATATATAAAGAAAAATAAAGGAGAGGGACACAGAGAGGCTTCTGCCCCACTGGTGGGTCAGATCCCAACCCAAATTCAACATGAGGGTTTCAAAAAAGCAAACCAGAAACCCCAGAGGATCTTCTCCCCCCTCCAAGTGACAGATGGAAAGGACCAGGACAAGCTCACGACGTTTGAACGGCGACTTCTGGGCTCTTCCACGTCACGACTCTCTGCAACCCCAGGAAAGGAAAACAAACCCCAACCCCCATCACAAGGTCAAGAGCTTCCCTGGCAAGATGCTGAAGAGCTTCCTGATGGTGAGTTCATCCTTTGGGATGCTCTGGGTGGAAAACTCCACCATCCATCCAGGCTGGGAATAACCCGGGGGCTACAACCTCTTCCCAAGCTCCGGTGCTGATTTTCCCTCCCCGGTGAGGGGCAGGTGGGGGGAGGGGGTTTATCACTCCTGCTTCACCAACACACCAGAAAAAAAAAAAAAAAAAGACCAAAAGAAAAACAAGGAAAAACCAAAAATAGGAAGCAAACCACCCAAGTTGCCCAGTTGGTGAGGGTCCTCCTGCCACCCAGCAGCTCCGGGCTCGGCGTTCCCGGTGTTTTGGAGCCTCTCAAGCCTCCGGCACGTGACGATCCTTCCCTTCCCCAGCAGGGACCCAGGAGGGAGCAGGTGCTGCCAGTGTGTCCTTGTGCCAGTGTCCCCGTGTCCCCACTGCCATCCTCACCCCTCTATTATAACACCAGCTGCAGCAGCAGGAGGGGCAGGAGGGGCAGGATCCGGCCCGCCCAGCACCGCCTGCCTCCGCCTTGCTGGTCCACAAAGGTCTTCTGGTCTGGCATCACATCTGTGGTGAGCTGGGTCTGCAGGGGAGGGGAGAGCCAGGAGTCATCCAAGGCTGGGAAGCAGCCAAAACCCCTATTTTTTCCAGTGGTCCCCCCAGCAGGTTGGATGAGGCTTGGATGGAGCAACCTGATGTAGCAGGAGGTGTCCCTGCCCATGCAGGGGGTTGGAACTAGATTATCTTTAAGGTTCCTTCCAACCCAAACCATTCCATGATTCTAGGATTCCATGATTCTTGGGGATCCATGATGCATTTACAACAGGAAACAAGTTCCAACCCTGGCACCAGCCCTCCCCCCTGCCCCAAACCTACCTCTGAGTAGCACAGGCTCTGCTCTTTGGACTTGTTTAGCTTCGGTCCCTGCTCCTGGGGAGGAGAAAGGAGGGAGGCTTAGGGCAGGAAGATGCATCCAGCCCCCCTGTCCCACTCCTCTCCCACCCCAGGAACAAAGCACGAAGCCACGAGCCCAGCAGGGTGCAAGAGAACGGGTAACTTCCAGATTTCCCCAAACCAGGAGGAATTCAAGCTGGCTTCACCCCAACCAAGCCAGGACCAGATGCTGGGCTCAGAGCAGCTGCTCCAGCCTGGCCCTGGGCAGGCAGGGGACCAGGGAAGGGGATGGGCAGGGCATGGAGCAACCCTTTCCCCATGCCAGACCCCCCAGTGGTCTCCAGACCCCCCTGGCACTCCCCAAAGCCCCTTTACCAGGGACAGCAAAACCCTGCCAGGCACCTGGGTACCAACACCCCATCCAGCCTGAGGTGGCTGCACTGAGCAGGACATTTTGCTGCCAATCTCCTGGCTGATGGAGCCACCAAGGATCCAGACCAAACCCTCCCCAGTTTGCAGGAGTAACCAGGCTCAGGTCCTACCTGGATGGAGGTGCAGGTGGTGATGACACTCATGTCATACATGGTGTTGCTGTCGTTGATGTCATCTGGCAGGGCAGGGCTCTTCTCCACCTTGGGGGGTGGGGTGATGGGGGGCAAAGGGTTCTTGGGGGCAAGGTTGACGTCGGTGCCGTTGCCAAAGGCTTGGATGGCATTCCCTGAAGGCAGGAGAGGTTCATGGGAGGGGGCTACACCCCAGGGGGGGGTGGTGCTGGGGCAGGGGGAGGAGAAGGACACAGGGAAGAGCCTTACGGAGACAAGGGTTTTCCGTGAAGTCTCGGAGGAACTTCTCACACTCCTCTTCCATGTTCCCGCTGCCTTTGCAGGAGCACCAGGGGGAGATGGTGATGCTGGTGGTGCTGGCGTCGACATAGTTGGGGGTCATGTCAAAACCTGCTCCAGAAGAAGGGGAAGGAGTGAGGGGCTGTGGTGGGAGGGACCCTGCAGCCCCCCCGAGCCCCGGCACTCACCAATGAGCCCCGCGTAGGAGCCCAGGCACGCCTGGTAGTTGTCCCCAGGGCAGCTGGTCAGGGACTGGAAGGAAGCTTGGCAGTTGGTGTGGAAATCAGCCAGCCGGGACCTGGGGAGGAGAGGGAGAGGGAGAAGGATGGGATTTCACCTCCACTCCCAGCACAGAGTAACGTTTTAAGAAGATAAAGGTGAGATAAAGAGGGGTTGGGAGAGATCTGAGGGAGACTGAGATCCGGCAGGTGCAGCTTTTCCTCTGGGCACCTCAGCCTCCAGGTAAGGGAATCCTAGAATCATGGGATGGTTTGGGTGGGAAGGGACCTGAAAGCTCATCCAGTCCCACCCCCTGCATGGGCAGGGACACCTCCCACCAGCCCAGGCTGCTCCAAGCCCCATCCAACCTGCCCTTCAACACCCCCAGGGATGGGGCAGCCACAGCTTCCCTGCCCAACCTGGGCCAGGCTCTCACCACCCTCACACCAAAGAATTCCCTCCTCATCTCCAACCTCCATCTCACTCTTCCAGCTTAAAACTATTACCTCTCATCCTCTCACTACACACCCTGGTAAGAAGTCCCTCCCTGGCTTTCCTGTAGGACCCCTCCCCACCAGGGGTGACCTCCTGGTCCCCTCCCACTGCTCAGGGTCAGGCACAGAACAGGCACAAGGAGGGATGGAAGTCCAGATGTTTTCCAGGTGTCCCCATCACCTGGCTCTGCTGACACAAACCCAAGCTTCCCAGCTGATGCTTTGGGGATTTGTATGGAACAAAGTGAGGCAGGAGGAGGCAGAAGGGGAGGGAGGGAAGGAAAGAGAGGAGGGAGAGGAGGGAGAGGAGGAGAGAGAGGAGGAGGGAAAGGAGGAGGGAGAGGAGGAGGCAGAAGAGGAGGGAGGAAGGAAGGGAGGAAGGAAGAAGAGGAGGGAGGAAGAAGAGGAGGGAGGAAGAAGAGAAGGGAGGAAGGAAGAAGAGGAGGGAGGCAGAAGAGGAGGGAGGGAGGAGGGGAAGGAGGCAGAAGAGAAGGGAGGAAGGGAGGGAGGGAGGCAGAAGAGGAGGGAGGAAGGGAGGGAGGGAGGCAGAAGAGGAGGGAGGAAGGAAGGGAGGGAGGCAGAAGAGGATGGACAGATGGACCAGGTGGACAGATGGATGGGCTGCAGTTCTCCAAATGGACTCAGTCATTATCTGACCAGACACGAGGCTGAATTGTGGCCCGTGCTGGGTCTCCATCACCAGGAGGAACAGCTGTGAAGCTGCCAAGATGCTGACACTGTAGATGAGCCCTTGCATTTCTCAACAGAAAACCTCCTCTGCTCTATTTTTCTGCACTCCATCCAGGAGGAAGGCAGCACACATTATTTTCTCCCAGCTTCCTTTCCCTTCCTTCTTAATTAAATGTCATCTTTGTCCAACTGGTGATTGAATCATCCACCACTACCTGCCAAAAGCCACAAGAACTGAGGAAAACAGAGGGGAAGAAACTGTGGTGGTGTTTTTTTTCCTTCTTCAATAGGAATTATTTGTTTTCTGAAGTTTTCTGAGCAAATTAAACAGAGGAGCAGCTGGAGCAGGGACTGGATGAAGCAGAGTGGAGCAGCAGTGATTCCACCCAGCATTTTGCACCCCACTGGACCTGGGGTGCCCCAGGGGACTGGAGAGGGGACACAGGGGGGAAGAAAAAGCAGCTGCTCAGAGCTGGACCAGAGCTCTGGATGCTCCATGCAG